ACCAGTCTTGTGCGCGCAGAAGAACCTCCTGCAAGCTCCGAGCCTAGCATGGCCGAAGGCCAAATAACTACCGGCATTGTCCACGCTCTCTCTCCCTCCCGCCCCCACCCTTATTGCCGCGTAACTAACCGCTTATTACTTACCCCAACTCCCTCCCCTATTCCCATGACTAATTTGCCTGTAACTATGATAATAATTACCTGTAATCAACTATGTATATTTTACCCCTTTCCACATAAATGTAATTGGCCCGATGAGAATTTATCGAAAGTATACGTATGCTCACCACCTACTCTTCTGAATTCTCTGATGGGAATTTTCGAAACTTTAGATCAGGAAATTTCCAGAATTTGTAAGTAAAGAATTCGTAAGAATACTAAATAATAACTTAACTATCCAATCCTTTATCAGACACTACTCACCATACCGCGCCCGAATCATATCTAAAGTTGGTACTGTCCTACATATTTTGGTATTTTTTATCAGAAGCAACTTCAAGCGACGAAAGTGCGTATTTTAGGAATTAACTGTAGTGATTTTAGAGCAATCGGAAATTTTCGAAAAACCACTCCACGTAAAGAGCAACGACAATTGTATGTATTTTCGCTGTGACAAACTGGCTGGTTCATCGACCATCAGACATCGACGATTTGAGAAAATGCTAGGAAATATTTCAAAAAACTGCTTTACCCTATCTGACAGCGCCTGATGTGGATCAGTTCTCATGTTGTATAAGCCTATATCCCTATCAAGAAGCTGCCTGACTGTAATGAAGCAACAACCAACAATCCTAGCCGTTTTTTTTACTTTAATACCCCTATTTTTAAATGCTTCCATCTGAAAAGGCCTGCATTGAGGAGAGATAATCTAGCTGCAGTAGTTCAATTTAAGGGAATAATATGCGATATGCTCAAATAACAGCAAAATGAAATCTCAAACTTCAGTTCTAACTCGAGGACGGAAAATGGGTTGAGCACGTCGCACTTTCTCCAAAATCTCCAACGCAGTCAAAGACAG